GGAGACGGGTCTGGCAGCGGCTCGACGACCTCGGCCCTGGCTTCCTCACTTTGACGTGGCTGCCGTCGCACACTTCGTGGGCCAGGGCCTGTGTGGCAGGGGTGCCATGGCAGGCAGACGCGGGCAACAGGGAGGCAGACCTGAAGGCGAAGGAGGGCGCCAGGCTCCACCCCAGGCAGGAGCGGCAGAGTGAGCTGAGCCGCCGCCTGAACGCTGCCGCCGTGCAAGCAGAGGCCTGGTGCGGCCACCAGACGGGTGGCTGCATCGTGTTTTGTCGAACAGGCGGGGCCCACGGGAGTCGCCAAGCAAGGTTCCTGGCCGACCCCTGCGTCCCGCTGGTCAGCAAGGGCCGTAATGCGGCTCGCCTGGCCCGCCGCGCCCTCGAGCGTCTCAGAGCGGGGCGGGAACCCCAGACTGGCGGCCGCTGGGGAGCGGCCCCGTTCCCAGGCTCGAGGGCGGCGGCGGGGAGGGTTTAATTTTATTTTTGGTTTTGATCGGACTCCAAGGGCCCCCCCGCGCCAGGCCTCCTGCCTGGCGGGTCCTGGGTCTGCCGTGGAGTGTTTTGATCCCCGTTTGGGGCCGAGGCTGGTTTGCAGAGCGGACCGCCTTCTGGTAGGAACTAGAGGAACTAGAGGAGGAGGAGGAGGAGGAGGAGCGGGAGGAGGAGGAGGAGGAAGAGCAGGGTGACAAACGTGACGAGGATGAGGCGAGTCGCGCTCTTTGCAGCGCACTGGGGCGCCGCACCCTGCATCTCCTTGACAAGGTCCTTCTCCTCTTCCTGCCCCTCGTCCTTCTCGTCGTCTCCCTCAAGTTCCTTTTTCCCCCGACCGCGTCCGCCATGTCCGTCGCCTCCTCCCCGGCCTCTTCTTCCTCCTTCTCCATCCTCGCAGGTTTCCTTCCTCTCCGCCCCCCTCCTCCTCCTCCTCCGCCTCCCAAGTTTCCCCTTCTGCTCCCTTCCATCCTGCTTCCCTTCCTCTGTCTCCTCCCTTGATCCCTTCGCTCCATCGTAGCTACCAATTCCATGCTGCTATTCCCCGCCTGACCTCTCCCCCCCCTCTCCTCCTCCTACTCCTACTCCTACTCCTACTCCTCCTTTTCCTCCTCCTTTTCCTCCTCCTCCTCCTCCTCCTCCCCATCCTCCTCCTCCTCCTCCTCCTCCTTCTCCTCCTCCTCCTCCTCCTCCTCCTCCTCCCCCTCTGTCTCCTCTTCTTCATCCGTTATTTTTCCTTACACATTATTTCTTCCTGTCGCCCCCCGGGGCCAGTCGGAAGGGCGGGCCGGGCGTTTCGCTTGAGACTTCCGTTTGATTCATGGTCTTGAAATTGCCAAGTTTGCAACAGCTTCACAGATGGAGGGCGGGTGGTTTCCACACTGTGGCTTGCGCCTTAGCGCCGCGCACACTCGTTGAGCAATCCCTTAGAGTTTTACGGATTTTGGGAGTGTGGTTTTCAAAGCGTGGTTCTCGTTTTAGTGCCGCGCACATTCGCTACAAACATTTGCAAACGTTTCACGGTTTGAGGGCGGCTCCTTTTTGAAGATGTGGCTCTAGCCTGAGTGCCGCGCATTTCTTTCAATAGAAAATGGTTTATGTTCATTGGTGCTCATGGCTAACGTACTACCAACAGTGTTTTGGAAGGTTTCTGGACTGTCAGGGCGCAATGGTTACGTTGATTCGTTCAGGATCGGCAAGGCGCAATAGTCAGATTGATTCGTGACTTTGACGTCCCGAGCGGCCCGAGAGTGATTATTCGGCTCGCTTCGGGATTTTGAAAATATTTGTCCCTCAGCGGGGCACTTCCCTAACTGGAAATGAATTGTTGTAGGGGCGAAGAAGCTTGGAGGGAAGGTGCATTCCACCATCTTGGATGGGTCTTGAGTTTGCATTGGTCCTCCTTCTCCTCCTCCTCATCCTCCTTCTGCTCCTCCTCCTCCTCCTCCTCCTCCTCCGCCTCCTCCTCCTCCCCATTGTTTGGGGGAGGCGCCCAACGCCTCTGTGCTTCCCCGCGGCACTTGAGGGGCTAGGTTTACGCATTCGTCCTTCCCGATTGGTGTCAACCTCGACTGAAAGTAGATGCATCCTTCAGGTTGTGTACCGTTCTCCTCTATCCCAGTCAGTTCTCTCTCTCTCTCTCTCGCCATGGCGCCACCGTTCTACCGTCAGTGGACACGTCGCGCAGGATGCCAGCGATGCGAGTACAACGACGTGCCACTCAAGCAGCCCACCCTGGAGTGTTCCAAGTGCGGCACCTCCCTGGTCCCCTGGTCCTGTTCACGAGCCAGGCGGCACAGCGCGGCAGGCGCAGTTCCTCGCGGCCGCGCGTCCGCTTCTCCGACCAGCCCCAGCAGGACGAGGAGCTCGCCCTGGTGAACCCCTGGGGCATCCTGCCGTCGCCCAGCCCGCGACGCAGGCGCTCGACCCAGCAGCCAGCATCGCAGGCGCCCTCCTCCATCGCGGCGCTGCTCGAGCAAGCGCTGGCTTCCACGGAGGACCCCGAGCTGCAGGCGACCCTGGCGGCGCAGGTGGCGAAGCTCAAGGAGGAGGCCAAAAGCCAGTCGGCTCCCGTCTCCCCAGTGGAGGCACTCCGCAAGGCGGACGGCGTCTGGAAGGACGCGGACCACCGCCACGGCCAACAGGTGGCCAACGTCGGCCGCCTCCGCCAGCAGCTCGCGGTGGCGGAGACCAAGGAGCAGGCGCTCGCCCAGGAGGTTGCCCAGGCCATCGCGGCGCGACGGGCAGCGGCGTCGGCGCTGCAGCATGCAGAAGGCATCGGCGTGCCCCAGACCAAGCAGGAGGAAACAGGCGCCAGCAAACCGATCTTCCAAGTGTGCTGGGACGCAGCCTTTTCCGACCACATCGATTCATTATATTGCGAGGAACAGGAGAAAGTTCAATTACGAGCCCTCAAGGGGAACCTAGAGGCCACCAATCCAACATGGCGTCTCAGGAGGCTGAGGTTCAGGCCTCGTCGTCAGAGCCCGCCATGGTCAGAGCCGCCTTGGAGACGCGCAGCCAAGAAGAGGCACGCCACCGACGGCGAGTCCATGCCGCAGCCGGCAGCACCGGCGCCCGCGACGGCGCCCGAGGCGGCAGCGGCAGCGGCAGCGCCGCCAGCGGGGCGAGAGGGCGGCTAGGGGGCTCCCAGCGATCCCACGCTTACGCCCTTCCCCGCGGCGGCGGCCAAGGTGGCGGAGGAGGCCGGGCGCCTGTCTGCAGCCAGGTTCCAGGCTGAGGAGCTGAAGAAGACCAAGGCCAAGGCTGGCAAACGCAAGGGAACATAACGCAAGCCTCCAGCACCAGCAGCAGCGGGGGCGAAAGCCTCCGACCCAGACGCAGAGATGTGACTAGGGACTCCTCCTAGGGACTCCTCCGACAGCGTCTTGCGCTATTCCAGCGGAGACGCGACCAGAGAGGAGTTCATCTAAATCCGCTCGACTGTTCCACGCGAGTGTCACACGCATGGGTTCCAAAGTATGGTCCTGGTTGGGAGGCCAGGACTACGACTACCACAGAATTGTGGAGACGCACCTCCACGACGACAGGTCACACCGGAAGTATGACGGAGCAGCTGGAGCAGCAGGTCTTCGGTTGTTCCAACATCGCGCCAGACGCTCGAACAAGTCAGTCAGCGGCCAGCACGCCGAGCACAGCAACGAGGGGCGCGAGTTGATCATGTCGAGGGGCCACCTGCAGACACACCGCCTGGCAGTGGCCCAAGCGGCCAAGACCAGGCTCCAGGCGCCGCGTCGCCCACAGAGCTTCGACGGCATCATGGCGGTCGTGGCCCACCTGGCGGGCGTTTCAGTTGTCCTAGCCTGGTTCTACGCCCGCAGCGGCTGCGGCACCAAGGGTGCGAACGCAGGTCGGTGCCAGCGCCTGGCTGGCCTGCTTTGGTCGCTTCAGCTGCCGTGGATTGTGCTCGGAGATTTCAATCTGAGTCCAGAGAAGCCCATCAAGTCGGGGATCCCAGATCGTCTGCATGCAAGGGCGATGGCAGCAGGAGAGGATGTTGTGACTTGCTCGATCGGTGCAGGAACGGTGGTTGACCACCTCATGTGTAGTGAGTCCGCAGTGCCCCTTGTTGTCAGCATCACTCCAGTTCTTAAGGTCCTATGGAGGCCCCATGTAGGAGTGGAAGTGGTCCTGCGTTGCGCGGGAGAGCAACTCATCAACCGTGTCTTTTTGACCGCTGGCAGGCTCCCGCAGGCCCCCAGGCCCTGTGCAGTGGCCAAGCCGGGGTCCAAGTCTAGCCTCGCCAAAGCTTATGGAGCCTTCGGCGTCAGCTTGCGATGGAAAAACGCGCGCGCAAGTTTTGCCGTCTTTTCGGGGGCTGCTCAACGCAGTCTGTAGAGACGCTCTCTCAAGACCAGTCAGGGTTTCGAGGCGGTCCTGCAGAGGTAGGGGGGCCCGCCGAGTCTCGCGCTCGAGATTTTGACGAATGGCCCGGCGAGCAGGGCCCGCGGTTCGAAGAGCTCCACTTTTGTAGCGGCCCCTCCCCAGGCCAGTCACCAGTTCTGAATTTGAACCCCCCATCGGTCCATGCCCGGGGATGTCGAGGGGGACCTTGCGAGCGGACCCGATGCGCGCGGCTCTCCACCGTCTGTCGACAGCGGCGCCGCTGTCGGCGCCCCTCCGCTGGTCTTCACCATCAACATCATCGTACTCATCATCCATCGTCTTCAACATCTTCTTATACTCCCTCATCATCACCATCATCATCACATTGCCTCTCCCTTCCCCTCCCATCTCCCCCTCTCCCCGATCCTCGCCCCACTCCTCGCTCCGCTCCTCGCCCTGCTCCTCGCCCCCCTCCTCTCCCCCCCTCGCCCGCCTACCGTCCTCCGCCTCTACCTCCGCCTCCTCCTACTCCTCCTCCTCCTCCTCCTCCTCCTCCTCCTCCTCCTCCTCCCCCTCTTCCTCCTCCTTCTTTGTACACAATACACTCCCCCATCCCCGTCTCCGTTCTCTCTTCCCTTGTGCACCCCCCCCGCCCGGCCGCCAGGGGCTGGACGACGAGCAGCTGGAGGAGCTGCGGGAGGCGTTCAACCTGTTCGACACCGAGCATTCTGGCGGGCAGTCATCGTCGTCGTCCTCCTCGCCGTCGGAGAAAGAGGGGAAGGGAAAAGACGGGAGGAGGAGAAAGCGGCGGGGAGCGGGGATGGGGGGGGAGACGGGAAGGAAGGAAGTGATATTGACCAGGCTAGAGGGGTGATGTCGAAGATGGCGGAGATGAAGGACGATGATGATGAGGAGGAAGTGAAGGAGGAGAAGGAGGCGGAGGATGAGGATGGAAAGGGGAGGGAGAGAGAGCAGAGGAGGTAGAGGAGGGAGGAGGGGGCATTGGAGGAGGAACGAGGAGCAGCAGTATGTATCAAGCAAGGTGCGTTTGCGCCACATATGACATCCCTCCCACGCATTCCTTCACATCTTGTCTCTATCCGCCGACGGTTGTCATAGTGGACCTGGAACGTCTGAAAGGAGACCCTCGTCCTATCCACAAACAGAAAGACAGGGGACCTGTGTACATTTGAAGAGGACGTGGCGGATGAGCAGGAGGAACACGATGATGATGATGATGATGATGATGATGATGATGATGATGATGATGATGATGATGATGATGATGATGATGCTGATGCTGATGCTGATGCTGATGCTGATGCTGATGCTGATGCTGATGCTGATGCTGATGCTGATGCTGATGCTGATGCTGATGCTGATGCTGATGCTGATGCTGCTGATGCTGATGCTGATGCTGATGCTGATGCTGATGCTGATGCTGATGATGCTGATGATGAGGATGATGATAATGATGCTGCTGATGATGATGATGAGGAGGAGGAGGAGGAGGAGGAGGAGGAGGAGGATGCCGACGAGGAAAAACAGCAGCAGCAGCAGCAGGTGCCGGGATGGGGGGAGCGGGGCAAGCATGAGGACCAGGGAGGCGGATGAGGTGAAAGGAGCGGGGTGACAACGATGAAAAAGGGCTCGGATCCTGGAAAGTGGCCCGTGCTAGCGCGAGAGCGCCATTCTGAACGACGGGGGCAACGCGCCACTTCTAAAGTTTGGCCCACGCTTCGGCGGAACACCGCTTTTAAGCACCGGCTAGCATTCCGACAAGAACATGCCACGCCATACACTTATCATATGTTGAAGCCCCGCGGGCAACATGTACGGAGAGGTTGCGCTGTCCTGTGTACGTTGATTAATGTACAGACTGGGAATATGAGAGCAGGATGGGAATAGGAGGGGGAAGAGGAAGATGAGGGAAAGGAGGAGGAAGATGAGGAGGAGGAGGAAGATAACGAGGAGGAAGACGAGGAGGATGGAGGAGGAGGCGGAGGAGGAGGAGGAGGAGGAGGAGGAGGAGGAGGAGGAGGAGGAGGAGGAGGAGGAGGAGGGAGAGGAGGAGGAGGAGGAGGAGGAGGAGGATGGAGAGGCAAATAAGGATCGAGGAAAGAGGATGGGCAGTAGCAGGAATAGGGGGTAAGACGGGACGATGCGGACTGATGAGGGAGGATGGAAGAGGAGGGGGAGCAGTTGGACCAGAAGGATGAGGAGGAGGAGGAAGAGGAGGAAACAGAAGGGCAAAAGGGAGCAATGTCTTATAATGATGCTGATGCTGAGAAGGATGATTTGGAGGATGTGGACGTAGTGGAGGAGGAGGAAATAGAAGGAAGTAGAGTAATGGGGAAGGGTTCATGGTAGATGTATTCATATCGCATAGCTTCCCTGCGGCAAGAAGGGAGGGATGAAGAAGTTATGAAAGAACGGTAGGGCGGGAAAGATGAAGGCGTGCAGGATTTGCGCCGATCAGTTTCTCAGCCGTCCTCGGAGGTCTCCAGCGGCCCCTGAGGATGCCCGAAGGCCTCTGGAGGTCGCAATTGTAGACGAAGCATCGATCTTTGATCCCCGTCGAGCCTCGTGGATCGAGGGGCAAGGGGGAGGGCGCAGGGAAGGAGAGGAGGGGGCCGTTGGCCGTGGGGAGGGGGCCCGTGGGGCAGGCACCATCGACGCCCGCGAGCTCAAGGCGGCTCTGCGGGCGCTCGGGTTCGAGGTGAAGAAGGATCGGGCGGCGCAAGCGATAGGCCTTCTAACTGCCCCACGCCCCCTTCCCTTCCTCTCCCAATTCCCTTCCCCTTCTCCACAGTCCCTCCGAACCCTTCCCGCTCCTCCCTTCAGTCCACCTTGTCCTCCCCGCCCACCTCACCCTCCTCCCATTCCCATATTTTCCTACCCCTTTCTCCCCCTCTTGCTCTTTCTATATTTCAGTCCTTCCTTCAGTTTTTGGGTGTGCTGATTATGTATAGACGTCCGCCGGCTACCTTGTGAGGCCACCAGGCTGTAGGACGAAGTGTGTTGTTCCCTGCCCCAGTTGCAGTTTCAAGTCTCCAATGTTCCAGTCCTGCTTTCTGTTTCCTATTCTACATTGTTGAAGTCCTCGCGATGGGCCCCAAACCACTGGGTTACCTCGCCCGGATCGCGTTGTCTGAATTCCCGGGGGGGGCGTGAGAGATGTAACATATTTTAGACTTGCGCTCCCGAGGCCATAATCTTTTGTGAATTACACCATGTTCGCGTCTCCGAGGCCACACTCCTTCTCTGAATTATATCATGATTGCATCCCCAAAGCAGGAATCCTTCTAACATTATACAATAGTTGCGTCCCCCCTGCCATAATCCATCGAACATTACGCCATGTTTGCATTGCCGAGGCCAGACTGCTCCAAGGCGCCCGAAGATGGTTTCAAAACGGCCCAAAGAGGCCCCACGAGCGCTCCAAGAGGCCTCCCGGGAGAGCCCCAAGAGGCCAATATCATAGATTTGGCGAATGCTTTTGAAGGTTTGTGGCCTTCTCGCATTTTCGGCTTTCCGACGCTCCAAGACGGCTCAAAAAGCTCCCAAGACCGCCTCTTGACGCCTCCAAGAGGGCCCCAAGACGGCTCAAGAGGGCTCCAAGATGGCCCAAGAAGCGCTCAAGACAGCCCTAGACGGCCCCAAGAGGGGCCGAGAAGCCTTCTCCACGCGACCGCGCGGTGCGAGGACCCGGGTGGCTGGGGGGCCGCGGAGGCGGAGCCCGAGCAGATGCCGGTGGAGCTTGTGCAGACGCAGGCGCACCTTCTCAGGAGATCAGCGCCGAGCAGTGCGCGGGGCTCCTGGCGCCCCTCGCGTGGTTCCTCGTGCCGAAGACGGGCACCTCCATCACAAGCATTTTTTGTACAAAACGCCGGCGGTCTGCCCATGGCTCCGTGCAGACACCTACGTCGACGAGGGCGACTACAGTATTGGGTAATGGCGGTGCAGAACTTATGGGACGAGCGCTGGGGGTATCGAGACAAGATTTGTGCTGGTGGCCTCAGTGTTTCTTGCTTCGTCGGAAATTTAATTGATTTCTGGGTGGAGGAGGGCCTCGGAAGACCAGACTGGGAGCCATATCAGCTCTGCCACGTGGGCGTTGGAGGCCTGACAGGGTTGTTCTACCAGCTAAACCGCGGACATTTTGTGAACCATGTTGAAACAGCCAGAGCAATGCTTGATATCACATGTTCCTCTGCGCGGTGAGTCTACACATTTTGTAATGCAGTGAGGACAACATGGCTGTACAACTCTGCGTCGCCAAGTCTTCGGGAGTACGCCGGACAGTCTGCCGGATGCACCGTCTGGCAGTTGACAACGGATGTTTACACGCTTTCCAAAACCCATTCTGTCTTCACCAAGCGCGTGCCACTACTCGCACGTGCCTACTCGCAAACGTCCGACAAATCATGCATTCCTCTAGGTAATGGATCGTAGATATCCCGCGGCGGGTCCAGGCCATTTGCAAGTAGTTACTCTCCGAGTAGTGGACCGCGCTTGTCGATTTACCAACGTCCGAGGACGTAAGCATCGCGATTTAGATGTTGCACGAGGGTTTGGCCTTCGCCGGGATCATCGAGCATTGGGACCTCTCCGTCTGCCTGTACCGCGCGACGTTTGGGGGGAAGCGTGACGACAGACTTCGCAAACACCAGGCCGACTGACAAGTGAAGCAGCTTTCATTCTGACGCGAGTGAGATCTATGATCGGACTGACGCTCTGGACGGACCTGTTCATCGCGAAGCTTTATCAAGATTCGGATCCTAGCGTTGATGCTGATTCGTGTATTTCATTATGTAGGGGTCGGTCTGCCTGGCCAAGTTAGTGACATCGCTGTGTTTCCGGGTTGCTACACATGATATAATGACGTAGATGTGGGCGTATCTGTTCTGGACCATTCGATGTGTTCTGCTTTCAGTGCAGTGCCAGAATTGACGCCGTGCAGCGGGATCATTTTTGTTTTCAAATCGGCAGCCTTATCGTTGTGCCTCCTCTCCCTTCTTTCTCTTTCTTTGCTTCTCCTACTCCTCCTGCTGTTCCTCCTCCCTTCCCCCTCTCTACAAATACAAAGTTGTGCTTCTGCATGCTTGTATTCGGGGCCTTCTCGGCCTGGCAACGAGCAGGGCGCTGTTACATTCAGGTGCTTCGCTCAGGCTTGTTGCTCTGTGCACGTTTCTCCTGCACCCGTGCTCTTGAGCCTGGGACGTCATTGGTCGCTGCCTTGTCCGCTGGGTCGCTGCTGAAGGGCCTGCCGGACCCAACGCTAATTCAGTTCTAGCCCAGGGGTTTGTATCTTGTTGCCTCTGGGATTATGTCGGCTGCCCCCCGGTCGCCTGCAGAGTTCCAGAATGGGAAGGAACATTGCTGTAGCTCTGCCACCGCCACCGTGGAGTCGCCGCCCGCGTACAGCGTGTCGCCCTCCCTGGCCATGGCAGCGGGGCACGGCGGCCTTTGGGCACCTCTGCCGCAACACGGGCGTGGCGGAGCTTAAACCATCTACAACATGCCCGAGTTCACTGAAATCCTCGGCGCGCTCTTTCACCCGATGAAGTTTTACGATCTCGCCTTGATTGTGTTTCTCAGTGTTTCCTCTTCGTTTTCCTCCCCCTTCTCCTGGGGACTAGGGGCGGCGTCTGACTACGGGCGGGCGGGATCGGAACTCTCACGCGAAGACTGAAGGCGGTCGCCTTGGCATTCCACATGTATCACAAGGCGAAGGACTTTGCTCAGAAGACACCAGGGTCTCTTGAGCGCGCATACGACATTCGAGGTGCTGCAGAGCTGGCACTCGAGCGGTGAGATGGTCTCATCGAACCCGTGCTCTGTCTCTCCCTCTCTCTCTATTCTGAGGGTGGTGGATTGGCCTGGATGCGGGTACTGGGTGTGGGGGTAAAATCGAGGCACCTGAGGCGTCGGCATGTTGCGGTCGATGACTCTCCCGCAGTGCCCTCTTGAATCTGGTCTGCTTCGAGCGCCGTCTTTTTGTGGGCTCTGCTGGTGGCAGAAGTGGCAATGGGTTGCGACGCCCCTCGGGAGGCCGAAAATGAGCCCAATCGCCACACAGCAGGAGCCCACCACCCTCCGTCGATGCGTTCGCGTCGGCCGAGGTCGAGGCTGGCGGTCGGACGGACCTTCTCGGGTACGTCGTTTCCTCCCCTTTTCTCCTGTTAGGACAGTCCGTATATGTGACCAGACGATTCAATCGCGCTCGCATGCGCGCCATTTGAGGTAGCTCAGTGGCTTCACGCCTGCGTCGCCGTGTTCTTCATCGTGTTTCTGTGTCCGCTCTCCCGACAAAAACTTCGCCGTGCTAACCCATACTTCCCTGGACTTGCCCAAATTTCCCGCGGGCTTCTCTTACTTTTCCCAGAACTTCTTCTCTACAGGCTTCCCTGGCATGTCCCAGGCTGCCCAGGACTTCGGAGGCCCCCCACCCAAGACTTCGGTGCAGCGGAGGTTTTGCGTCAGTCTTGGAGTTCTTTCGGAGCCGTCCTGGAGTGTCTTCGGGCCTCTTGACACCATCCTGGGCTCTCTCGGGTTCCTCGGAGGTCTCCTTGCGAAACAATACTCACTTAAAACGCTGGGGTAAAGAGACTACTACGGACACTTTTTGCTTTGGTCTTCTTTGATGTTGTCTGGGGGGTTTGGAGGCCGTCGAGCGCCTCTTCAGGCCTTTTTGGTCCGTGCCTCTGGCCCTGCATCGCTCTTCGTGTAGCCTCTTTATCGCCATGCGCCTTGTGCGTGGTTCGGCAAGTGCGTCAGGCCTGGGGGACCTTCCACAGGGGTGGCGAGGAGGTCTGCGGGGGGGGGGCGCGGGAAATTCGCGCGGCGTGTCTCCATGGTGTCGCCCCCCGCATGGTGAGCATTGTGTGCAAATGTATGTGTGTGCGCGTGTGAGTGAGCGAGTGTGTGTGTGTGTGTGTGTGCGTATGTGTGTATGTGTATGTGTGTATGTTTGTGTCTGTGTGTCTGTGTGTAAGTGTGTGTATTCGGCCGGTGGTCGTTTCGTTCCTCCTGTCTCCCCGCCATCGTCGCCCGGATGGCATGTGACGCTGCCCCCTCTGAGCCCAGCGCGCGCGTGGCACTGGCCGCTGCACTTGACTTTTGTCGCTTCGACGCTGCGCGCGAGGCCCCGACTGCCAACAAGAAGTATGTGGATGTGGATGTGTATGTGTGCGTGTGTGTGTGTGTTGCGCCCGCGCGTCTGTGCGTGAGTGTGTGTGTGTGTGTGTGTCCCAGCTGCTGCATTAGACTGTCTTCGCTTCAACGCTGCGCGCGAGTCCGCGACCGCCATTGAGTGTGCGTGTGTGTGTGTTTGCGTGTGCGGATATATTTATATAGATGCATATCTACATACATGTTTTACAAGCTTATATATGCATACAGAAGTATGTATGTATGCGCACGCGTGTGTGTAAACATATTTGCAGAGAGAGAGAGAGAGTGAGAGAGTGACAGGACTCCAGCTATCTCCGCATCCCTCTCTCTCTCTCTCTCTCCCCCTCTCTGGCCCTCATCTCCCCCTTCCCCTCCCTCCCTCTCCACTGGCCCCTTCGGCCCACCTCCTTCTCCCCCTCCTCTCGCTCCACCCCTCCTTCCCTCCCTTCTTCCCTCACCGTCCACTGGGTCAGAAATCGTCAGCACAGAAGTCTCGCCGCGTAAAGTGCCCCCCCTTCGTCCGAGGAGGACGTCAGGCGCATGCTCTCGGACATCGGCAAGGAGACCCGGGGACCGGGGAGGTGGGAAGGGGTCAGGGGGAAATGAGGCATGATAAATAGGGGGACGAGGAGGAGGAGGAGGAGGATGAGGAGGAGGAGGAGGAGGGGGAGGAGGAGGAGGAGGAGTCATGATGAACACGACGAGGGGTGGGAGGAGGGAGGAGGAGGTGCAGGAGGAGGAGGAGGAGGAGGAGGAGGAGGAGGAGGGGGAGGAGGAGGAGGAGTCATGATGAACACGACGAGGGGCGGAGGAGGGAGGAGGAGGTGCAGGAGGAGGAGGAGGAGGAGGGGGAGCAGCAGCAGGATGAGCAGGATGAGGAGGACATGGAGGATAAGTATCAGAGGCAGGACCGCGGGTAGGAGCGAGAGGGGAGGAGTAGGACGGTCGGGGAGGAGGGTCAGCAGGAACAGGGTGACGGGACGCAGGATGCATGATGCTGATTGAGATCGCAGAAGGGAGAGGATGAAGCGGAATCAGGAGTCAAGCGTGACTACTGGGTGGAAGAGGACAGAGGCCAGCGTCGGCAGTGGATGAGTGCAGACTGGTGGCGGGAAGTGGCCGAGTGCCATGCGGGTAGCGGGAAGCTTCGGGAACGCCAGGAGGCAGGTAGAGTAGAGGAGGACGGGGAGGGGGAGGGGGAGGAGGAGAAGAGGAGGAAGCGAAAGAGGATGATGAGGAGGATGGGAATGGGGCAGATTGGAGGAGACGGAGGAGGAGTAGAAGGAGTAGAACGAGGACGGGATGAGGATCAGGATGAGGATGAGGATGAGGAGGAGGAGGAGGAGGAGGAGGAGAAGGAGGAGCAGGAGGAGCAGAAGGTTGGTGGAGGAGGAGAAGGAGGACAGGAGGGGAATGAGGGGAAGCGGAAGGAGGAGGAGGAGGTGGAGGAGGAGGAGGAGAGGAGGGGAAGTAGGGGACGCGGAAGGATGAGGCTGAGGAGGATGAGGAGGATGAGGTTGAAGACAAGCAGGATGATGAGGAGGTGGATGACGACGACGGGGAATCCACGGAAAAGCCGGAAGGGGGCTACTGGAAAGGAGGATGCAGAAGGGGGAGAGGGGTATGATTATTGACTGCGAGGACCCCGCCCAGCCAATCGACTTTAACGACTTCTGCGAGATGATGAAGGGGCGGATGCCAGACAAGAACTCGAGGCGGGCGTCGGTATAGTCAGCTTCTCTCGTACTGTGCTCAATGGTCGCCTGCCGCTCCATTCCCTTCTCATTCTTCCCATCCTCACTATTTTCTCTTCCCGAATTCCGCTCCTCTTCCTCATTGCCCTTGACTCGGGTCTCCCCCCCCCACACCTGAAGAGTCGCCAGCATGGGGTTGTTGATGGTGTCAACAGCCTCAGCTGGCAAGCGTGAGAAGACATACAGGATCATGCATCCTCGACCCTGGGGGGACGAAATCCAAACCTAGCAGATGCGCGGTCCGCGGCGCGTTCTGCCAGTCTGAGGGCGGAGGGGCCAAACACGGGCGAGCATGCGCGCGGCACGCAGCGCGTGCTCGATAGCGGCTCCATGTAGGATCTTGGCGACTGCGGCACGAGGATACGGCGACACAGGTAAACAGAAACATGAGCGACGCAAAGACGCGGGGTCGTCTGCGTCGACATTCGTGCGCAGGCTGCCCGCGGAAGGTTACGCGTGAGCGACCTCGTTTCCCAATGTGGCGGGCCGCGCCAGCGGCCCGCGTCAGACGCGGCGTAAGGTCGGCATGTCATCTCGCGTGAGACGAGTTTCTTCTCCTCTCGCTCAACTGTTCGTGAGGGCAAGGGGCCCGCGCTCGCGTCGCCGGTTGTCGGCTGGGCCAAAAAAACACAGTCTGTGGGAAAACACACACAAACTGTGGGAAAACACACACACACACACACACACGCACGCACGCACGCACGCACGCACACACACACACACACACACACACACACACACACACTGACACACACTGTGTGTGTGTGTGTGTGTGTTTCCCCCCCCCCCCCCACAGTGTTTTTTTCCCACAGGCTCAACTCTTCGCGAGGGCAAGGGGCCCGCGCTCGCGTCGCCGGTTTTCGGCTGGGCCCTGCCGCTCCTGGCGCCCCCCCCTCTGAGCGCGGCGAGGCGCCCGCTCCGCGGAGGCCTCGGCGTCGTTGCAGGCGCCTTCGTCGTCGTCGTCGCTGGCGTCGTCGTCGCCGTCGTCGTCGCCGTCGTCGACGTCGTCGGCGTCGGCGTCGTCGTGCCTCACCCTTGGCATCGCTCGGACGTGTGTTTTTTTTCCCTCGGTGAGGACCATCGAGGAGCATCCTTGATCATTTGGCGAAAAAACCACGCAGAAACTGAAACAAACACAGGGAATGGACGTCCGAGCGATGGCCAGCACCCCGTGCCGTCGTCGTCGGTGTCGTCGGCGTAATCGTCGGCGTCGGCGTCGCCGCAGGCGTCGTCGTCGGCGGCGTAATCGCCGGCGTCGGCGAAGGCGTCGGCGTCGGCGTCGTCATCGTCGGCGTCGTCGTGCCTTGCACCACGCCCCATTGTCCATTTCCCTTGACCGCTGCCGCCCAGGGCCGAGATCGACAAGGTTTTCGCGCTCTTCGACGAGGACCCGCAGCGGGGGGTATGAACAGAGCACGGGGGAGGCCCTGGCCGAGAGGGAGGGAGGAGAAGAGGACGGAAGGAGGGAGACTCGGAGGGAGGGCGGGTGGACCCCAGGTAACGGGAGGGAGGACCGGGAGGACCGACGGTCTGCACCTGACGGGCGGGGTGGGTGCGCGGGGGGGGGGGGCGGGCAGGCGGCGACGCGGTACGCCAGCGAGGTGGTCCTGGCGACACGGTCCAGTCGACGACAGGGCCCGAGCGCGGGCGAAGCGGTCAGGGCGAGACGGTCCAGGGAGAGAGAAGAGCGGCAGAGAGGGACGCGATGGGCGGCACGAGCTGGATGACGGCAGAGCAGGAGACATACGAAGCCCACGCCAGCGCCGACGCCGACGCCGACGTCCATGCCGATGCCGACGACGACGACGACGACGACGACGACGACGGCGACGCTGCCAGCGACGTCCACGCTTCTGCCGATGACGACGGCGGCGACGACGACAACGACGACAACGGCGACGAAGACGGCGACGACGACGGCGACGGCGATGTCGACGGCGTCAACGACGACGATGACGAAGACCACGACGACAACGACTAACAACAACGACGACGACAACAACAACAACAACAACAACGACGCCGACGACAACGACGACGACGACGACGACGCCGCAGACGACGACGATGCTGCCAACGACGACGACGACGACGTCGCCGACGACGACGTCGACGACGGCGATGGCAACGACGATGCCAACGACGGCGACGACGACGCCGCCGCCGACGACGACGCTGCCAACGACGACCACGACGACGACGTCGACGACGGTGACGACGTCGACGACGGCGATGACGACGAAGACGCCGACGACTCCGACGACGACGATGACCACGACGACGAAGACGACCACGACGACGACCACGAGCAGAGTAGAGTAGGTGTAGAGTAAAGTGCAACAGGAGCAGAGTAGAGTGTAGAGTAGCACCGAGTAGAGTAGGTTGGGATACGGTAGGGCAAAGTAGAGTATGAGGTGTGGACCATATTCGAGCAGGGACGGCATCGACTAGAGAAGAGTAGGCGGGCAGAGTAGAGCGGAAATCGATTACAGTAAATAAGAATTCATTAAACTACAGCAGTCGTAGAGTAGAAATGCAGTAGAAGGGGAACAGAGTAGAGTAGAGTATACTATAATACAATAGGTTATACCAGGATGCGGTATGGTGAAGTAGAGTAGAGCAAAGCAGGACAAAGTAGAGTAGAGTACAACAGAGTAGAGGAGTGTAGAGTAGAGAAGACAAGGCACATAGTAAAGTAAGATAAGTGCACGGTCGTATAAAATAGCGTATAGAAGAGTACGGTAGGGTGGAGTAGAGTATGGTAGAGTAGAGTAGGGAAAGTATGGTCGATGAGACAAAAGTAGTTGAGTAGATTAGAACAAAAATCGTAGAGCAGACCTGATTCGAGTGAAGTAGGAACAGGGTAGGAGTCAAGCTAAGCATCATAGACTATGTTACGGTACGCTATGGTCGGGTAGTGTCGAGTAGGGCAGAGCAGGGTAGAGTAGATTGGAGGAGAGCGGAGTCGGGTAACATATACCAGGGTAGAGACAGGGTGGAGCAGAGTAGAGTAAGAGCGAATTAGAGTAGAGCGAAGTATGTTAGGACACGATCGGGTAAAGTAGACGAGTGTAGAGTAGAGTATGGGTCGGCTCGAGTCAAGTCGCGTTGAGTAGAGTAGAGTAGAGTACAGCGGAGTAGAGGAAGAAGTAGGGTACTGAGAGAGCCAGTTCGAGCTCTAGTAGCATTATATCAGAGCCGGCGCCTGGCTCGGACGCTGGCGACAGGTGCGCCGCCGCCGCCGCTGACGTCGTCGTCGTCGTCGTCATCGCCGTCGCTGTCGTCGTCGTCGTCGTCGTCGTCGTCGTCGTCGTCGTCGTTGGGGAGAGGGGGGGTCGGCACCCCCCTCGATGATTTTCACCCCCCCATCTTTTTTCCCCAGGGGGGGGGGGGCTTCACCCCCCCCGTTAATTTTCAGACCCCCTACATCGAAAATTTCGCATGGAAGGAAAATCTGCCACTGAGATGGGGTCCGTCGATTCATGTACCTTCTGGTTCATGGCATTCATGTGTTTCGGTGTGCCAGGGGCCTCATGGCTTCGGGGGCTCTCGCGAGAGCGGCGGATTTCTTCGCGCGCGAAGGCGTTCCTGAGGCGCGAGGGCGTCCCTGAGGCAACCATCGTGTTCAACAGGCGGAAGATGCAGAACAAGCCGGTGCACGTCGTGCGACAGTGCGTCTGCAAGGATACGTCCTCTTATTTGCGCGGCGACTGCATCTTGCGTCGTCGGTGGCAGCAGGGCAAAGTTCTCCCGTCGTTGCAGTGCGACCGGGCGCTCGCATCGCTCAAGACGGCTGCCCTTGCTATCGGCTTGCCGCGAGGGGCCGAGTGGGGGACCCACAGCTTCCGCTGAGGGTGGGCCAACGACGCGTTGCGCCACGGAGGAGTGCCGGCGTTGTTCTACTCCGGCGGCTGGCGCGGGTTGGCCGCTTTCGGCTACGCGTCTGCCCAGGCGCAGGGCGAAATGCTCGGTGCGCAGTGGACGGCATAGTTTTCCGAGTTTGTCAGACGGCGACTCCAGGCCGAATCGTGAAAAACACATCGGTCGCAGCTGTCATTCTTATGCAAGTGGCCGCCGCCGCTCCGCGCGCGTGGCTCGGGGCGCAAATCGCCTGCGTTGGGACTGCAGTTTTGGGCGGGCGTTTCGAGCCCTCGCCATTGGGGCGTCGCGCAGGGGGCTCTCTCGCCCGCCGCACCGGCAGCGGCTGTGCTTCTGTCCCAACGCAGGCGCGCCCACTCCACTAGAGGCGAATGCAGCAGATGTTCATATCCCCTATATCGGAGATTTCGCAGGGGAGGAACACCTGCCATTGAGACGGGGTCCGTCGATTCATTTACATTCTGGCTCATTGTATTCGTGTGTTTCGGTGCGCCATGGGCCTCATTGCTTCGGGGACACTCACGCGAGCGGCGGATTTCTTCATCGGCGGGGGCAGGCTTCCCGCTGAATTCAACAGTCCCAGTCCGCCACGCGCAGAGGTGTAATAGCAAGTATCCGGCGCGAAAGGGCCTCACGCGGCCCGTTTCCGTGCGATGGTTTCCGCGTGGCGCGGGGGCGAGGGATCAGAAATCCGCCCTGGAGCCCTGATTCGGCCCCGCGGCCAGGGCCAAGACAGGCGAGGCATTCAAAGCCCGCCCACCCGTCCCTGTGTGCCCTGGTGCATTTCAGTCGCCTTGGTGGCGTTGCGGTATCATTGGGGAGTGTGGAGTCGGTGCGGTGGCGTCGCGCAAAAGGCTCTCTCGCCCGCCGCACCGGCAGCGCCTTGGCTTCTGTCCCAAAGCAGGCGCGCCTACTCCACCAGAGGCGAATGCAGCAGAGGTTCCTGGGGAGGGGCTTGGGTTCTGGACCCCGTAATTGCGTTGTTCCTGGGGGGGGGGGTTGTTGGGGGTGGTGGGGGGGTGGGGCCTTGGTTTCCGCCCCCCCCCCCCCACCCGGAGTGTTTGCCAAGGGGGGGAGGGGCCATTGGGCTTTGACCCCCCCTGAAAGGAAATCTTCAGGTCAGTGACGGTGGATCGCGCTCCTTCGAAAGGTCGAAAGGTGAGGATCTGGTTTAGGACCAGCGTTGTCTCTTCATCGGATCAGGGATTTGAAGGAGGAGGGGCAGGAAAAACGTTAGGAGTGGAATGTCAGGGAGGAGGATTTGCGGGCGGAAAAGGAGGGGGAGGAGGAGGTACGAACGATGAACAGGAGGCACAGGAGAAGAGGCAAGGGGTAATTTTGATTTCCCTCTAGAACGAACTTGCGTCAGAGAAACCGGATGATCCACAAACGCCGCTGGCTTGCTGACTCGTTTACACGATATGTGTGTACATATATATATATATATATATATATATATATTCACACATGTGTGTGAATGTTGGATGTGGGCTGCCAGCCACGCGGCGGCTCGCAAGATGACGTGTGCATGGTCACGTTACGAAGCTGTCAGGCTGCGCCTGAATGAAATGCCAACGACGAATGCAGTTTGGCGGACTAGTTGAATTCCAGAGGGATCAGCGCCAGGCCCAAACGGCAGGTCAGGGATAAGCAGTGAAGCCATGGAAGCCAGCCAATTACCTGACAGCTCGCCCATTGGCCCCCGACCAGTCCCACGCCAAGGAGCGAGCATACGGGCGCAGCGCCGCGTTGGATGTATTGCCATTACCTGGGCCTATCAGGCGAGGACCCAATTACTGCATCGCCAGGCGTAGGGGTGCCGGCGCCGAGCGCAAGGCCACTTCCCTCCTCCCTCCTCATTCTCACTCCGCGTCCACCTTCGTCCATCTACCACCTCCACCCTTCCCAGTCATCCGTCATCCTCATCCTCCTTCCTCGCTCTCCCTCCCCCACTTCCTCGAAATGCCCGCGAAATATTCCCATCCCCTGGTCTATAACTGCCGGGGAAATATCCTCCCAACCTGGCCTAAATATCCTCACCCACCATAGATAAGACTGCCAGCAATATTTTCTCAGCCCCTGGCCTAAGGCTGCCAGCGATCTATCCTCACCCCCCTGGCGTAAAACTGCCAACGATACATACTCACCCACCTGGCCGGAAGCTGGCAGCTAAATTTCCTCACGCCCTTGGCGTACAACTGCAAGCGAAATATCCTACCCCGCCTGGCGTAAAACTGCCAGCGAAATATCCTCCCCCCTTGCGTAGAACTGCCAATGACATATCATCAGCCCCATGACCTAGCGAACTATTCTCATCTCCACTGGCGTAGAACTTGCAGCCAAATATCCTCACCCCCCTGGCTTAACGCTGCCAGCGAACTATCCTCACCCCCCTGGCCTAAAACTGCCATCTCACGGATCGGGTGATTTTGTCGTTTCAGTTCAGCCAGTCAGTTCACGAAATCCGAATTACGGGATGCGCCTGTAAGTAAAGGGCACCGCAGAAGGGCAGGGCGACCCGGATCGCGAATACGATGATTTGGCGGCAAGCACCTCGCCAGTTAGTCGGATGAGGAGGAGAATGAACGAGTAGGAGGAGGCGCACGGGATGAGGTGGAGGACGGCAATGGGAATCAGAGGAGGATGTGGCGCAGCTGTGGTTGTAGCAGGAGGCGTAAGTGAAACATTGGTGGTCCGAGGACGAGACAGGCAAGATCTCCTTCCGCAACCTGAAGCGCATCGCGCAGGAGCCTCGCGGGGTGGCGTCGCCTCAGACCTCCAGCGACTCGAGCAAAAATCGCCTTGCAGTTTTGCGTGACATTGGCGGCGCCTGTGGGTCGCTTGTGGACCCAGGGTAGTCAGGAAACTGTTTGCGGAAGCAACATCGGGGATCCGCCACTGGCCTCCTTGCCGATCCTGGTTCGTGTGTACGCATTCCTCTAGACATATATATATATATATATATATCTATATATACACATATATATTTATATACATACACACATACATACATACAGACAGACAGACAGGCAGACAGACAGACAGACAGACATACACACATACATACAGACAGACAGACAGACATATATACATACATACAAACACACATACATACATACATACATACATACGTACGTACGTACGTACGTACGTACATAAGTACATAAGTACATACATACATACATACATACATATACACATGCATACATACACACATAAATACATCCATACATACATACATACATACATACATGCATACACACATACATGCATACAGACAGACAGACAGACAAACAGACAGACAGACAGACATACATGCATACATACATACATACGACGTACATACATACATACATACATGCATACATACATACGTACATACATATATATATACACATACATATATACATACATACATGCATGCATGCATGTATGCATACATACATACATACACATATATACCTACTTACGTACTTACTTACTTACTTTCTTTCTTTCTTACTTACTCATTTACTTGCGTAATTACTTACTGTCTTCAGAATAGGCTTGCTTAGCCCGGTCGTCGTACTAGAAGGCCTACTTCGTCCTACTAGTACGACCGCGGGGCGTACTAGTAGCCGTACGTAGCTGTACTCGTACGCTCGGCCGTGCACGCCGCAGTCGTACTAGTAGCCGTACGTAGCCGTACTCGTACGCTCGGCCGTGCACGCCGCAGTCGTACTAGTAGCCGTACGTAGCCGTACTCGTACGCTCGGCCGTGCACGTCGCAGTCGTACTCGTAGCCGTACGTAGCCGTACTCGTACGCCCCGCCCCGCACGCAGCCGTCGTACTAGTAGGCCTACGTAGCCGCACTAGTACGACCGTCCCTGCACTCCGCAGTCGACTAGTCGGCCTACGTAGCCGTACTAGTACGCCCGCTCCGGTCGTACTAGTACGCGTACGTGGCCCTACTCGTACGCTCGGCCCGGCACGTCGCAGTCGTACTCGTAGCCGTACGTAGCCGTACTCGTACGCCCGACCCGGCACACCGCCGTCGTATTAGTAGGCGTACGTAGCTGTACTAGTACGGCCGTTCTTGCACTCTGCTGCCGTACTAGTATGCCTACATCGCCGAAGTCGTACGCCCGCTCCAGTCGTACTCGGACCGGTACGTAGCCGTACTCGTACGTTCGGCCGTGCACGTCGCAGTCGTACTAGTAGCCGTACGTAGCCGTACTCGTACGCCCGAGCCGCGCACCGCCGCCGTATTCGTAGGCTCACGTAGCCGTACTCGTACGCCCGTCCGTGCACTTTGCTGTCGTATTAGTGCGCCTACGTAGCCGAACCCGTACGCCCGCTCCACTCGTACTAGCACGCGTACGTCGGCCATTTGGGCAGACCCGAATAAGTCCGCGCGCGGGTGGTGGTCCGCCATCCGGGCAGAGGCGGAGTTCGGGAGCCACTGCGAGCAAGTGAATCTTCTCGGTTCGGGCGGCGCCCAGAAAAAGTACGAGAATCAGGCCGGGTACAACGACCTGTTCGACGACGGCATGGCCTCGAAGCTCTATCGCGACGCGTCGAAGAACTACGGGAAGGACGTGTTCGCTAACAGGAAGCGCCGGGCGCCTCGTGCACTGTCCAAGCGGCCGTTTCGCGTTTTGACCACCCCCCCTCTCCCCTCTCCCATGCGGCCACGCGCGCGGGGGCTAAGCGGACCGGCCGCGGGGGCATTGCAGGGCGGCGCCCGGTGAGGTTCTCCAACGGCAAGAAGTTCGCACCATGGGGTTCTACCACACTGGGTGCATGAACTTCCATGACGCGTACAAGCTCCTCTGCGAGGCCGAAGGACACCATTCCATGGCGTTGCTGGACCGGTATTGCGCCATGCATGCCGCTGATTCCGGAGAATCCGTACGCGGACCCCCGGACGGTTTCGATCCCCCGGCGGTTGTCAAGAAGGCAGACGGGGAGTTGGAGCGCGACGCGCACGGATTGTGGCGCAGGGACAAGCTGCCTGCCCCGAGGAAGGAAGTGCTTGACGGCATGAGGGCGGTCAAGGATTTCGTGGAGAGCAACCCCAACGCTGTGGCGCGCTTCGCGCCCGAAGGTGCAGCTCTCTATCGCCTGGTGGACAGCGTGAACTGGAGCGCGGCCGACCGTCTTCAGTACGTGGATGAGGACAAAGCCGCCCGGCTTCGCCAGCTGCAGCGCTTCCTCTACGACTTCGCCATTGCCCAGCTGCTGCTCGAAGTCCAAAAGGCTGGCTCTGGTCCCGCGGGCCCAGCGGGCGACGCAGCCGACGCTGGCGCGGCGGCTGCTCCGGGCGCGGTTGCCACTCGCCCCACGGTGAAGGACGCGTTCGTCGACGAGGAGCACGTCCAGCGTGCAGTTTGCCACTTGGCTGCGATCTGGGAGGGCCACGAGTCCTTCGTGAACCCGCGCCGCACCATGCACTTGGAAGAGAACGTGCGGCGCGGCACGTTGGCTGAGCAGCGCGAGGCGGCGGCGCGGGCCGCGGCGGATGAGGGCGCCGATGACGTGGAGGCCGAGGGTGTCGCGGGCGCCGAGGGCGGCCTCGAGTTGCCGGCGGGGTGGTCGCAGAATGTGTGGAACGGCACTCCGTACTATTGCCCCGACGCCGACGAGCGCGCGCGGCAGTACGAGCACCCGTCCACCGTGCCGACCCCGCCTGTGCCGCGGATCACGCAGGGCGTCGACGAGTACGTCTTTGTGGGGATAATTGATGCGGGCTTGAAGTCTCGCATGATCGCCGGAGCTGGCGACGCGGAGGCCGCGCGGGGCGGCGGCGACCTGATCGCGGCCGCCTGCAAGAACACGCTCCTGTGGAAATGCTCCACGGCCGAAAACCGCATCACCGGCAACATGGTCTCCGCCGCCATCCGCTCGAGTCAGGTCGCTCGGCCGTCGTTGTCCTGGTGGAAGTCCGTCGTGGTCGAGGGCGAGCTCTTGCATGCGGGGCTGGGCCGGAAGTTTGACCACAATGCCAGCGTGGGTTCTGGGAGAAGCCCAAAGTCCCGATTGATGAAGAAGAACTCGCTGCCTTCGTGGACCAGTTGGCGCAATGGGGAGTTGCCCCAGAGGATTACGAGCGTGGCGCGGCTGCTTCCGGCGCGGCCCCCGCGCGCGGGCCGGGGCGCGCGCCTGCGCGCGCGGCGGCGCCAGGTGGCCGTGCGAGTGATTCGCCTGACCCGGGGGCGCGGCCGTCCGCGCGCAGCAGCCCGTCGTCCAACGCGCGCAAGAAGCGACGCGGACCGGCGGGCACTGCGCGCCCGAGCGCCGCCCCGGCGCCGCGCGCGCTGGCGTCGGACTTCCGCGGGCCGATGTAGGCGCGCAGCAGATGCGCCGTGCGTTGTGCGACGGGCGAGCGGAGCGCCGAGGGCGCGGCGAGAGAGCACGCACGGGGAGGCAGGGTCAGGGACACGGCCACGAGGAAGGTGGGGGAAGTCCGCTCGCTCCGCTGCCTCAGGAGGTGTTTTTTTTTTTGTGTGTCATCGCGCCAGCACGCGCCCGCTTTAGTGGCGCCTCGAAGGAGAGGGGTGTGTTCTGCACTCGCAGTGAGCATATGATTTATTGGTGAGGTTGTAGTTAATTTGGAGGGGTTGCGGTTCCGCTGCGACGTCGGATATTCATTATTCGATGTTTTACGTGGGTGGGCTGAGACCAACCTACTTCATCTGGCTTCCTACTTCATGTGTACACTAGTTCAGGACTCGTAGTGGGAATATGCCTGACTTGTGATGTTGTAAAGGTGATCAGAGGGATTGTACATTGCAATTGCTTTGGTGGGGTTGGAGGTCCTGCTGCGACGTCGTACATTCATTGTCAGATTTTCTAGGTGGGTGGGCCGAGACCAACCTACTTCGTCTGGCTTCCTACTTCATGTGTGCATTAGCTTCTAGGTCAGCAGTCGCAGTGAGCATATGCCTGATTTGTCGATTGTTGAGGCGCTCATCATTGCAATCGTTTTGGAAGGGTGGGGGCTCCGTCACGCTGCAACGTCGGATATTCACAGCGAGTTCTCGGGTGCCTCCCAAAGTTTTACAGGCCGCCACTATTCCAATACTCCAATGTACTCTCAGAAGAGTGAACCTCGAGAGGACATTCAATGCTGGTTGATGCGCGTGCAATTCTGTTGTAATTGTTAGGGCCTACATGCCTATGTTTTTTTTCTGGGGATCCGCACAGTCGGCGTCTTCGTGCTGTAGTGGCATGGCGATTCCCCCTGCAGGGCGGTTCGCGCGTCGAGGGGGTTCGTTCTCGCTGCGCCGCTCGTCGCCATGGCGCGACAATGTGAGCGCCCGGCAAGGGGGCACACTGATGAGGTGATCATCGCGGTGCCTTGGACGTGCGAGAACAGGCTCAGGCTGCGCGCTGACGTGGAGCGCATCCTGGAAGCGGCGCCCGCGTTGGCCTCTGAGGCGAAAATGATCGGAGGCATCGGGGGAACGGAGGCGGAGTTTTACCTGGGCGGAGTCTTGCCCATCCATTACCAAGGCGGTGTCTACCATGTACCCGTCGGCATGGCGTTCGGCTCGTTGTACCCAGGAGTTCCGCCGCGCTGTTTCGTGGCGCCATCGGGGGCTATGGGATTGGCGCAGCCGCGCCCGGGCGTCGACGCGGGCGGCAGGATCTCGGCGCCGCACCTGACGGAGTGGAGCGAGAACTCGCGAATCACGGACTTGATTGGCGGCGTGGCGAGAGTCTTCTCGGATAATCTTCAGTGTATATGAGGCGGCCGCGCGGCCCGGTTCTCGGCGGCGCGCGCAAGCGGGGATGGCGAGGGGGAGGGGCTTCTCAGCAACATTTTTATTGCATGGCGGGGTTGCTGGTTCCAGTATGAGCTCCCCGCTAGAGATGGTTCTGAGAAGGCGACCCATCTCGTCACTCCCTTGCGCGCGCTGCCCAGGCTCTGCTGAGCGGCGGATTGACTTCTGAGCAGGTGCTGGAGAGTGCGGCGCGAGCGCTGGGCGGGCACCTCTTGCCGGCGCCGCGCGCGCCGGATGGCACCACGCCCGCGCAACATGAGGTGTCGCCGACTCAGCCGCTGACTGCTGGGCAGCGCGCCGCCAACGAGAGCTGGTTCACAGAGTCACCGCTGAGGTTCTCGTTGCCTTCCGGGTGTCGTGGCGCGCACGCGGGCGCGGCGCCCTTCAGTCCGGCGCGGAGGGCATGGATCCAGATACTGTCTACACAGGAGTAGAGTCGGCATGCGAGGTGGGCGCGCCGTTAATCGTGCCAGACGAGGTGGGTGCCGACCGCGATGTGGCTCCGACCGTTGTAGACTCCGACTCTGAGTCGGGTGCGCTATCGGTCGTGTGAGATGCAGCGGGCATGGGCCCATGAGGATTGCGGTTTCGGTCTTGATATTCACAGTGAAGAGCGGGAAAAGGTCTCATGGGTGGGGTTCACGCGTGTCAGGTGCCTTGTTGTTTGAGGGTGCTCCTGTTTCATTGTATGAGATTGTGGTGGCACTGTGCTTGCGCTGTGCCAGGGCGGAGAGTGGAAGGCTTCAGGGAATGACTTTGCAATCGTTCTCCGTGAGAAAATGTTTCTCTGGGGTTTTGATGGAAGCGTTCTCGAGAGTTGCTCTGGCGAGGTAGCTGGTGTGAGTACCGTTGCGTGCCGGATAATGAGAGTACGTCCGGGATCCTAAACTCCGCCGCGTTGGATATTTCTGGAAAGATACGTTTGGTCGGCGGAGGGGGCGGCGAGACTGAACTTTATCATCGCCGAGCGATGTGCGAATCGTAGCTGTAATCTTCTTATCACGATTCGCCTTAATTGTGGCTCTTGGGGCTTCCGCGGGACTGCGTGACGGCGACGGCGACGACGACGGCCACGGCGGCAGCGCCGGCGACGAGGAAGTGGGAAGGAGGGAGGAGAGAAGGAGGGGATCGGGGGGAGGGAGAGAGGGAAAAACGAGGAATACGCAGAAAGAGAGAGAGAGAGAGAGAGAGAGAGGGGGGAGGGAGCAGAGGGAAGGGGCAGGAGGGTTTAGGCCAGAGCATTCTAGTAGAGCTACTTGAGCCTACTACTGGTACGGTCGGCGGAGGGGGCCTCCGCTCGAGACATTTTCGGAACTCTGCTCCGGCGGGGCTACTAGTAAGGCTACTTTGGTGTACTCGTATGGCCCAGGGGGGCTGGCGGGGGCGTACTAGTAAGGCTACTTTGGCCTACTAGTACGACCGGCGGAAGGCGCTCCCGCTCGAGACATTCTCGGAAGTCCGCCCCGCCGGGGCTGCTAGTAGGGACGAAGTGGCCCTACTAGTACGGACCCGGGGGGATGGCTGGGGCGTAGTAGTAGTAGGGCTATTTTGGCCTACCAGTACGACTTGCGGAGGGCGCCCCTGCTGGATACATCCTCGAAAGTCCGCCCCAGCGGGGGCTACTAGTAGGGTTCGTTTGGCTTAATAGTACGGGCCTGAGGGGGTGGCGGGGGCGTACTAGTAGTGCTACTTTGGCCTACTAGTACGACCGGCGGAGGGGGCTCCCGCTCGGGACATCCTCGAAACTCCGCCCCGGCGGGGCTACTAGTAGGGCGTCTTTGGCCTACTAGTACGGCCCCCGGGAGCTTGACGGGGGCGTACTCGTAGGGCTACTTTGGCCTACTAGTACGACCTGCGGAGGGCGTTCCCGCGCGAGACATTATGGAAAGTCCGCCCCGCCAGGGCAACTAGTAGGGCCGAGGTAGCCCTACTAGTACGGCCCCGGGGGGATGGCCGGGGCGTGCTAGTAGGGCTATTTTTTGCCAATAGAACGACCGGCGGAGGGGGCCCCCGCTCGAGACATCCTCGACAGTCCGCCCCGGCAGGGCTACTAGTAGAGCTACTTTCGCCTACTAGTACGGCCCCCGGGGGGGTGGCGGGGGCGTACTAGCAGGGCTACTTTGGCCTACTAGTACGACCGGCGGAGGGGGCCCCCGCTCGAGACGTCCTCGACAGTCCGCCCCGGCAGGGCTACTAGTAGAGCTACTTTCGCCTATTAGTACGAGCCCCGGGGGGGTGGCGGGGGCGTACTCGTAGGGCTACTTTGGCCTACTAGGACGACCGGCGGAGGGCGCTCCCGCGCGAGACATTCTGGAAAGTCCGCCCCGCCGGGGCTACTAGTAGGGCCGAAGTAGCCCTACTAATACGGACCCGGGGGGATGGCTGGGGCGTACTAGTAATTAAGGTTACTTTTGCCAATAGTACGACCGGCGGAGAGCGCCCCCGCTCGAGACATCCTCGAAAGTCCGCCCCGGCAGGGCTACTAGTAGAGCTACTTTCGCCTATACTAGTACGGGCCCCGGGGGGGTGGCGGGGGCGTACTAGTAGGGCTACTTTGGCCTACTAGTACGACCAGCGGAGAGGGCCCCCGCTCGAGACATCCTCGAAAGTCCGCCCCAGCGAGGCTACCAGTATGGCTGCTTTTGCCTACTAGTACGGTCCACGGGGGTCTGGCGGGGGCGTGCGAGTAGGGCTACTTTGGCCTACTAGTACGACCGGCGCAGGGGGCCCTTACTCGAGACATCCTCGAAAGTCCGCCCCGCCGGGGCGTACTAGTAGAGCATGTTGTGCGTACTAGTACAACCAGCGGAGGGGGCCCTCGCTCGAGACATCCTCGAAAGTCCGCCCCGGCGGTGCTACTAGTAGGGCCGAAGTAGCCCTACTAGTACGGACCCGGGAGGATGGCCGGCGGGGCTACTAGTAGGGCTACTTTGGCCTACCAGTACAGTCCTGGGGGGTTGGCGGAGGCGTACTAGAAGGGCTGTTTTGGCCTACTAGTACGAATTGCGGAGAGAGCCCCCCTGAGACATACTCACAAGTTCGCCTTGGAGGGGCTACTAGTAGGGCTACTTTGGGCTATTAGTACGGTCCCTGGGAGCGTGGCGGGGGCGTACTCGTAGGGTACTTTGGCTTACAGTACGACCGGCGGAGGGGGCCTCCGCTCGAGACATCCTCGAAAATCCGCCCCGCCAGGGCTACTAGTAGAGCTACTTTGGGCTACTAGTACGACCGGCGGAGTGAGCCTCTGCTCGAGACGTCCCCGAAAGTCCGCCCCGGCAGAGCTCTTAGTAGGGCTACTTAAGTAGCCCTACTAAGTACGGCCCTGGGGGGTTGGGGGGGGGTACTGGTAGGGCCCTGGGGGGTTGGGGGGGGGTACTGGTAGGGCTACTCTGGCCTACTAGTAGGACCCGCCGCGTCGTACTAGTAGGCGTACTTCGGCCCTAGGAGTACGCCTCCTTCGCCCCGCGGGGCGTACTAGTGGGCGTACTTCGGCGTACTAGTACGACCCAGCGGGGCGAACTAGCAGGCGTACTTCGGACCAACGAGTACGCCTCCCGAGCGCCGCGGGTCGTACTAGAAGGCGTACGGCGTACTAGTAGGACCCGCCGGGTCGTACTAGTAGGCGTACTTCGGCCCTAGGAGTGCGCCTCCTTCGCCCAGCGGGTCGTACTAGTGGGCGTACTTCGGCGTACTAGTACGACCCAGCGGGGCGAACTAGTAGGCGTACTTCGGACCACTGAGGACGCCTCCCGAGCGCCGCGGGTCGTACTAGTAGGCGTACTTCGGCGTACTAGTACGACCCGCCGGGTCGTACTAGTAGGCGTACTTCGGCCCTACGAGCACGCCCCTCGGGCGCCGCGGGTCGTACTAGTAGGCGTACTTCGGCGTACTAGTACGACCTGCCGGGTCGTACTAATAGACGTACTTCAGCCCTACGAGTACGCCTCCCGGGCGCCGCGGGTCGTACTAGTAGGCGTAGTTCGGCGTACTAGTACGACCCGCCGGGTCGTACTAGTAGGCGTACTTCTGCTCTACGAGTACGCCTCCCGAGCGCCGCGGGTCGTACTAGTAGGCGTACTTCGGCGTACTAGTACGACCCGCCGGGTCGTACTAGTAGGCGTATTTTGGCGTACTAGTACGGCCCGCCGGGAAAACCAAGCACTCTCTCACTGTCTTATTTATGTACTTACTTACTTACGTACTTACTTACTTAGCTACTTGCTTAAATACTTACTTACTTACTTACTTACTTACTTACTTACTTACGTACGTACTTACTTACTTACTTACTTACTTACTTACTTACTTACTTACTTACACACATCTATATATTCACATGTACTCATATGTATGTATCCCGATCCTGGGTCCAGGCGGACTGTTGGATAGTCTCAGACATCCAACGTCTAGTGTTGTCGCCACGTGGCTCTCCAAAGGCCTGGAGCCCTTCCTGGGGACTGGTTCTTCAGCCTAAAGTATGTTTTTTATTGACGGCCCCCGGGGCCTGTGAGGGCCTCCAGCGGCCGGACAAGGCCAAGGACCTTCCGTCGGTTTCTTTCAAGACGCGAGGCCGTCCCCTGAACCAGTTGGTCCCGGCGGTCGAGAGCCGGGGGCCGCGGCGCCGCGAAGAGATCCAGAGTTTGCAGGGTCGGCCGCACCGCGCGGCCGTCGTGTGCAAGCAGCTCCCTGGACGGGACGGGGACTCCGCGATGTGGAGTGCCGGGTCGCCGAGCCGCGCGGCCGCCGAGCCGCGCCCGAGGGGCCCAGGCCGGGCCGAGAGGCCGTGGCGCCCCCGCCAGGCAGGGCGCTGCGGGAGAGGGCGCTCCGGTTGTCGCCACGTGGCTCTCCAGTGGCCTGTCGGGCCGGACGAAAGGGGAGGATTGGGAAAGGGGGGGTTACGAAATCTGCTGCATGCAGCTGGTCTCGGCCCAACCGAGGGGCCCATGCCTCGATACATAGCCGCCTCTGGAGCCGGGAGGCGTCGGAAAGATCAGCTACGTGAGCTGTTTCTCAAACCCCCTCTTTGCGATCCCCCCCTGTCGCCCGGCCCGAGCCTGGAGCCCTGCCCGGGGACTGGCTTTTGTCCATCCCGAGTACGCATCCCGGAGCACCAGGCCATAGGCGGGGCGTTCTGGGAGGGGGCCGTCGGCCTTCGGCGCGGCTTTAGGTCTTGGCATCGCTCGGACACGATGTGCATGTGTGCTGGGCGAGGACCATCGAGGAGCATCTCGGGTCATCTTGCGGAGGAAGACCCGCACGAAGCCGACAAGTACACGGGTTATGGGTGTCCGAGCGATGGCAAGAGGGAGGGCCTCGGCCCTCGGCGCAGCTCGCCGCCGGCGGAAGGCTAGCGGACGGTAGTCGTTTAGGGCGGCGGCGGGTCCGCCGGCGGACGTCGGCGGGGGGCAGGGGTAAGGCGACGGCCTTTGTGGAGCCAGGGGCGCCTGTGGTCGGCCATGCAGAGGGACGTCCCTGTGCCCCATTCGCCGCTGTGGTCCTCTCGCTCGTCCCGCGCTTGATCGAGGAAGACCTCAGGGGTCGAGCAGCTTGCTCGAGGCCCGCTCGGAAGGTCGGGCAGGGCAGCGGGATGGAGTGATGGCGCTCCGCTCCCGCGTGCCCCTGCGATTCCCTCCGCTTCGCTCTTACCTTCCCCGCCTCGTCCTGCCCTCTCCCGACCCGCCCATCTGCCCTCATTCGTGCCCCGCTTTGCGCCTCCTGAGCACGGCCCCTTCTTCTCCACCCTCGCCTTCCTACCCTCCGCGCCCCTCCCCCCCTCCTCCGCCCCCAGCGCTCCTGCACCCCACCCCACGCCTCTCGTGGCTGGACCAGCGGAGGGGATTGGCAAAGGGGGGCGGGTACAACACCTGCTGCATGCAGATTTGTTTCGGCCCCGCCACCGTGCGCTTTCCCCGAGACACATTGGCGCCTCTGTCGCCAGGAGGCGCTAGGGAAACCAGCTGCTTGAGCTGATTCGCTGATCCCCCCTTTGTCACCCCCCCTCTTCTGACTGACCGCTCCTCTTTCAGTTTTCCCGCTGGCCCCCGCCCCATCTCTTCCCCCGCGCCTCCCCGTGCTCGATGCTCTCCATGCTCCTCAGGGCACGCGGCATGGCCTCGAGGCGAGAGTACCGAGGGAGTGCCCCAGCCCCCCCAGAGCTCTCGCCGCGCGGCCCGGGAGAGATCCTCACGGATGAGGGCGACGACGATTGCGGAGACGGCGATGACAGCGGCAGCGGCGGCGCTGGTGACCAACTGCGTGGCCGACGCCCCAGAGCTGGCCAGGAGCTGGGAGAGAGCCTCACCGACGAGGAGATGCAGGAGATGATCGAGGAGGCCCAGCGCTCGGATTTCTACAGCACCCCACTCCTCGTAGTCATCTCTCTCGTCCTCCTTCTCCTTCCCCTTCAGCCCGTCGGCATTTTCCCCGTCTTCCTTCTCCTCCCTCGTCCTCCTCCTCCTCCTCCTTCTCCTCCATTCGTCGTCGTCCTCTCCTCTTCCTCGTTCCTGATCCACCTCGCCCCTCCTCGTCCTCAGTTTTTCGGTGGCGCTCTGACTCCTCCTCCTCCTCCTCCTCGTCCTTTCCCTCAACAGCAAGGCCGTGGCAATCATCCCCTGCCGCGGCCCGTTCAATTGGGCTGGCCGCCAACATGGCCATCGATCTGCCCCAGGGGTAGGGCGACATGGAAGGAGATGCCAGTGACTCTATGCCTCCTCGTCCGTTTTCTCCTTCTCTCCCTCCTTGCCGACATCTCCTCCTCCACCTCCTCCTCCTCTGACTCGTCCTCCTTCCTCCCCCATCCGTTTATCATCTCGTCTCTTCTCTCTCCGTCTCCCCTTCCTCTCCCTTCTCATCCTTCTCCCCTTCTCCTCCCCCTCTTCCCCTTCTCCTCGTCTTGCTCCCCCATCCCGCCGGGGCGTTGGTTCTGCTGCTGGCAGCGCGGGCGGGCATAATGCTGACACTACTATCAGATCGCATATCGGAAGAACAAGTCTAGGTGACCTGTAAGGCCCGAGCTGCAGCTTTCGGCTTTCAGAGTTGCTTTTGGTATTCTATGCCGTGTGTCAAGCCGAGGTAGATCGACACAAGCAGATGCGCCAGATGAGCGTTCTGTAGCACAGGGGCAGCGCTGGGAGCAGTCCCCAAGGCAGTCGCGGGCCCTGCAGCGATGGTCCCACGGGCGTCTTTAATGAGCGTGTCCGGTCCTAATGCCCCGAAGTCTAGAGTCCCTCCTTTCTCTCCTCCGTCCCATTACTGTCCTTCCGCTCCTCGTTAGCAGGCTGACCGCGACGGCGACGGCCTCATCAGCCCCGACGAATTCTACCGCGTGATGCGCAAGCGGGGGGGCAACCCGTTGGACGACTGGGATAGCGACGACGACTGATGGGCTATCCCTTGCGGCTCCCTCTCTCTCTCGCGCCCTTGGCTTTCTCCCTAGATATCTCTCTCTCTCTCTCTCTTTGTTTTTGTTTTTGTTTTTTTCTCTCTCTCTCTCTCTCTCTCTCTCTTTCCATGTTATATACGTGGCACCCCGCAGATGCGGATAAGAGTGAGGGGGCGGTGGGGACGTCGGCAGTCTGCGAGACTCTGGAGAAGCCCGCCGCAGGTGCCAACGCTTCACAAATTATACAACGAGCCCGCCCCAGGCGCCGATTTTTTGTTCAAGCCAATGTGGATCGGTCGCGGGAGGGTCGCGGATGGGGTCGCGGGATGGGTCGCGGGTGGATCGCAATTGGGTCGCAATTGGGTCGCAATTGGGTCGCGGGTGGGTCGCGGGGTGGGTCGCGGGTGGGTCGCGGTGTGGGTCGCGGGTGGGTCGCGGGTGTGTCGCGGGTGGGTCGCGGATGGGGTCGCGGATCGGTCGCAGATGGGTCGCGGGTTGGGTCGCGGGTGGGTCGCGGAGTGGTTCGCGGGGTTGGTCGCGGGGTGGGTCGCGGGTTGGGTCGCAGGGTGGGTCGCGGGTTTGGTCGCGGGTGGGTCGCGGGGGGGACGACGACAACAAGCATCAGCAACAACAACCACAACCACAACCGCAACCACAACCACAACCACAACAACAACGCAACAAGCATAATCCTCACCCACCACGGATTTCCACTTCAGCCACGCACCCAGGGGCAATGAATGACCGTTCGGCTCCATCACTCTGCTATACCCACCCTCCCTCTCATATGTACGTAGTCCTGCTTGGGCTCTGACAAGCTTCGGGCGACCATCCATATTCCCTATCACGCCCGATGTCTTCTGCATGTCCAGACGTGCGGCGTTCGTTGCGATTGCCCTCTCAATGGTACTACGTGTTGCTTATAGAGCCCACTCTCTTTGGTTCGGACTTTGCGTGCACATCAGATTTTGAGCGAGGTGAAGGGTTTATATATGGTTTATATATATATAGAATTATGCAGTATGTTCCAGGCTTTCAGCTTAGAGGTTTACCCCACCTTCAACGATCGAAACAAATTTGCTGATCAAAACCACGTCGCGCATTGGAGCTATGACCGAGCCCCATGCAGCAGCAAGTCCGCGGGGTGCGCCTGGATGTTTACACCGTCTTTGTCCAAGTCGGTCCACCAGGTTTTCGACCCACCGCCAGTAGCACTAGAAGCTAAGACGAACCGGAGGCGTCCGCATCACACAGAGCAATCTCGACATTTCATTGGATTCAAGGTACTTGGCCCCTGCTCGGCCTCTCGCCCGAAAACTGCCGGCGTGGCGTAGCATGTGCAAGGTGCTCATCAAGGCACTGGAGGATTCCCTCAGCGGGTGCCCTGTGAGAAGCATGCCCGTTTGCTTCATGGACCTCACCGATGACTTCGAGCCCCCGAGGAGGCTTTCAGCACGTACGCCGGCAGAGTCCAGCCTGCGAAGGAGGGCCGTGCCGCCATCTTGATTGCAGCGGTCTGCCAAAAATGCAACATGACAACCAGCAACACGTTTTTCCCCACGGGTCCCACGTTCTACGGCCCTACAGTCAGCAATAATCGTACTGGATATGTGTTGGCTCCAACCTCCCTGGTGTCTAGCATTGTCAAGTGCGAGGTCCGGCGCGCCTCGGGCCGAAGTTTTCAGCTTATCGCAGACCCGATTTACGTTGACCACATGCCATTCATCACAAATAACAACGATAGTGGTGGGCCCGTGTATGAAGGGATCGCGCAATGATGGGATGCGCAGGCCCTTGCGCACTGTTTTTTTGCACTTGGCAGGCATCGCGAGGGGTTCCTTTCAGAACTTCAGCAGGCTCTCCCTGACCACCTACATGAGCTCAGCCAGTTGGCTGGAGAGCCTACCCCTGACCAGCATTGGGAGCGCTTCGTAGACATCCTTCGTCCGGTGCTCTTGCACACTTTGGTACACAACCAACGGTACACGCAACACGTGCCAACTCGAAACAGATCCGCACTTCGCTATTGAAGCTTGCGTTGGCTCGCTGGGGGCTGGTGGCTTTGGCGGGGGCCGCCGAAGCCTGCATCGAGAGGGCCAAGCACACGCTGATGACACGCTCGGCCGAGAAGCAGCGGCTCAACGACGACGGGCAGGCGCAAGCGGTGACGGTGCTTGCCGCGGCCCCAAAGTCTCGCGATTGCCACCTGGTGCATCAGGTGTCCCGCGCTCTGGCTGGCACGTGCTTGGGGTTGAGGAACTGGCCACGGCGAGCGGTACGCAGCAGCTTCCTGTCGTGCGAGCAGTGGACGGAGGCGATGGCGCCAAATGCTGCCGAGGGAGGCAGCGCTGTGAAGCGCACCGCTCTTCTAGGCTACCAAGCAGTTTTTCGCGGAGCACACCCTCCTGGTCGTGCCGGCGGTGCCCTTCGTCGACTAAGTGTTCTGAGATTTTCAGGCCGTCGCCGAGAAACTCACGAAGGCGGAACACAGGCGGCAGCCGCCTCGCAGGAGCCTCCCGACGGAGGTGTGGCTCATGTTGGCTTGGCCGACCTGGTCACCTGAGTACCATCGAGCTGGATTGGGAGCCTCCTGGGACTTACCTGCAGCCGCCGTCCTCTTCTATTATTTCGAGAATCTCTTCATGCACTTCCGCATGTCCGCCACGCTCTTAGTGGCAGGACGCATCGGCCAGACCAAGCAGGCGGACAAGCGCAACGACAAGCCAGGCAACTGGGGCATTATATTGTTGGAGGGATACGACACTGTTTGCCGCAGCTTTCTGAGAGCACTTTCGCGGCACGCCTGCGGCTTTTGAGGATCCCCTTCGCCGCCGAAGAATTGCCCACTTGCGTGCGCGCCGCACTACTGACGGGAGGGTGCGGTTCTGACCGCAATATTGGTTGCGGAGAAGATGATGCAGCTACGAATGCCGTTCATCATCGCCACTGCAGGAACAGCAGCATCTCATTGTTCTCGACGAGATGGGCTAAAGGATTTCGGGGGCGAAGGGTCTGAGCCGCAAGGTTTCGTATTCTTTTGCTCTCGGCGGCTTCACTCCCTTTTCTCCGCGAAAGCGTTGGATGGCGATATTTTGTTCCCATCGTACCAAGGAGCTGTGATGGGCGAAGGCCATGCGGTGGGCGAGCTCATCAACAACTACGAGGTCGTCTTGCGTGCCGCGGCGGATCTCCAGAGGGATTGGCGACGCGCTACGTGTGACAAGCTAGTGTGCACGAGCTGGGCCTCGCTCTGTTCGTTGATGATGCCTTTGGGCCCCGATGGGCTTGATCCAGGACGGGCCGATCGCCCATTCGCCAGAGTTTCTGGAAGATTCGCCGGACGAGCAATCGGCCAACGGGGGCTACTTCCAGAACCGTTCCAAGCAGGATATGTGCCCAGCCATCAAGGACAATTGCGCCAACCACGATTTGAGCCTGCGTGGCCATTGGGGCCGCATTCTCCTTGAGCTCAAGTGCTCAAGAGGTTGGCGCGCGACTTCTGGCTCAGAATATAGGATCATCTAGGGTGGGCGGCCCCGCAGGGGCTTTGGTATTCCCGTGCGCTGGACTCGGCGAAGCGAACGCAGGTCTGGAGCTCGCGATTTTTGGGGTCCAAGCGCACGTGCTCCAGCCGTCGCATTGAGCCAGACTTGCGAGGCCACTGACCAGAAAAGTTCCAGCTCTACTTTGCGGCCATGCTTGTTCCCGCCCAGCCGAGGATGGACCATCTCACCCTGCCGGCCACCATCGAGCGTCATCTAACGTTGTCGTCTGGCGACGCTGGCGGCTGGCGCCGCCAGAGCAGGATATGCGAGCGCGGCGATTCAAATGGCTCCAAGATGGCTTCAAGCACCCGTAGGCCAATGGCCAGGTCATCGCGGCCGCCAGTGGGCAGATATCTATCGAACGCTTCTTTGATCGACCACTGCCGCTGGGCGCCGCGGGTCGCCTTTCATTTTTGGCCCCCGCTCGGGCGCAGCAATCGCGAGAGGACCTGGGCCACCTCTGCGCGATCTCTTCGGCAGAGGATTTAAACGACCTCTGGGGCGGCAGCGTCGCGAACCTTGTTCTGCTTCAAGGACCGGGGATCCTTGCTATGCCATCAGCTGTTTGCATGCGCCGGGGGACATGGCCGCCGTCGGTTCGAGCGCGAGGCCACAGTGGCGACTTGCTGCGTCGCGTGCGAGACCACCTCTAAAAGCAGGCGATCAGCGACGCACCATCTTTGCGCTGCCTTCAAACGCCGCCGTTGTCCAGCTAGTCGCACGCGTCATCGTCGAGCTCTGGTTGCGCCACAGCAACTTCGCTGTGCTGTGCGCCCTTGGCTCGAGCCTGGTAAAGAGCCGCCGTGCTTTTTCTAGAGCGCGCGACCTGTTCGCCGACGTTCGCACGCATCTGCCCCTTGCGGGCCACTGCGTAGTGCGCAGGGCAGCGCAGCTGCATGGCCAGGCGGGGTAGCAGTCTGAACGCCGCGGAGGACGGCGCCTTCGCCACCGCCGACGAGGGCGACAAGGAGGAGGAGGACAGGGAGAAGGAGGCCCTGGCCCACAAAAGAGGCAGACAATCCGGAGCCGCGCGAAGGCGACGGGGAAAGTGCCCCGACGAAACAATGACCGACCTACGAACCCGGAAAGAAATACATATATATATATACATATATATATATATATAAATGTAAGACATGGCAACGCTTAAAAGACACTTGGTTGGGCGACGGGCAAATACAATGTTGAGCCAATCGATTTTGGTGCACCGTGCCGAGGGCTGTGCCGTGCTGCGCCGCGCAGAATTGCAATGCGTCGTGCCGAGATTGTGCCGTATAGCGTAGTGGATCGAGTCTTCCTTTGTATCCGAATCCTGACCGAACTGATCGGAAACTGAAGCTCGAGCTGCCCGAGCACATAGTAGTTGCCCCAGAGCTACTTGACAGGGGGGCATGCCAGGAGGACGCGCCGCGGAACGCCCCAAGGGGCGCGCCAGGCGACGTGCCAAGGAACGCG